TTAAATGGTCTCACTCTTGGTTTAAAAATTATTTTCCATGTTTTTTTTTTTTTTTTTTAACGACGGTTATTTTTTTAACCAGCATGCCTCAAAAAATAGTAATTAATGTTGTTCCTTATTTATTTTTGCCACTTTTTTATTTTTTTTTTTAAATAATGTTTGTTATGTTAGAAAACAACCGAGAATATGTCAAAAAACAAACAAACAAACAAACAACAACGTCGTAAGTTTTTAACACGAAACTTACAAACATTAAATGAAAAAAAAAAAAAAAAAAATTCTGTTATTAAACGTCCGTTTATAAATTTTTTTATATTTAAATTGTATTGATATTATTATTATTATTATTAATAAGAATTTCGCGAATTTTAAATTTGGCGCGTAAAAATAATTTTTTATGGAACGAACGTGATTAAAACGAGTGTTGTTAAAAGTTCAAAAAGTATTAATTCGATTCATGATGATGATGATGATGATGATGATGATGATGATGATGATGATGATGATGATGATGATGATGATGATGATGACGATGATGACGATGACGATGATATATTATGATGATGATGATGATTAAAACGTGTTTTATTTGTTAAAAATAAGGAAAGCATCGAAGTTTAAATAAATATTAAAAGAAAAAAAAAAAATTCACGGGTAATAATAATAATAATACGTGAACAGAAACTTTTTGGGCTCACTTGTTTTAATCTACCATTTGAAAACTAAAAAAAAAAAAAAAAAAAAAAAAAAAAAACTTCGTAGTATTTTTTTTTCATTTTTTTTTTCAGTATTTAAATAACGGTTAGAAACGTTCATTGTACGGCACATTAAACAAAATGTATGTCCAAAACGTGCTTTTAGATGAAGATCAGTTTAGAGCAACCATGATAAGAAACACGACTTTGGCATATATGGTAAACAAGGGGTGAACGCGATTGTGTGTATTTTTTTTTTAAGAAAATATTTTCTCATCATTGAAAATCATACCTGTCGCGTCTGTCGTATTTGAAATATTCTGCTATGACGTCATCATTATAATAATATTAAAATATTTTATTCGGCCATGTTTGTAAAGAGTTCTATGGTAAATATTTATGGTACTTACACGAGAAACTAATGATCGATTAATACTATTCCATCCGATTGATTTTTTTTTTTGTAAATTATCCGCCATTATTGTTTGTCGAAAAACCGTTAAATTAACCACCATAACCGTTTTTTTTCTGCAAAAAAAAAAAAAAAAAAAATTTATCGTGAAAAATTTGAGAGAAAAAAAAAAAACGTTTGGTCATCTTAATTAAAAGATTTTTAATTATAACGAGTGGTAAAATGTAAATTTTACATTTCATCATTTAATTCGAGTGAAATTTTAATAAATTTAATAATTTATTAACGGTTAAAGTAAACTTTCTAGAATGAATTATTTTGATGACAGCGCCATCTTACGAAATTTTACAAAACTTTTACGTCATCATCAACCATTTACGAGTGCAAAAGTTTTTTTTTTTTTTTTTGATGTAACTAAAAAATTAATTTTTAAATTTAATAAAATAATAAATAATAAATAATAAATAATAATAATAATAATAATAAAATATGTGATATTAGTTTGTAATAAAAAAATAATAATAATTTGAATTATTTCTTAATAATAATAATAATAATAATAATACCCTTTTGTTTTAAATCTATGAAATTTTAAAGTTTCGTAATTTTTTTTTTAAATATTCAATAGAATAATAAAAATTCGTTGTAGACAATTTCACAACCATTTTTTAATAAATATTAATGGCGTACGTAACGTTTTTTTAACGGAAAATATTAATAATAATAATAATAAATTAAAATTTCGTCAGTTAGGAAAAGGGTAACCAAAAGGAGAAAAAGGAATGAAATTTTTATTTTATTTTTTTTCAACATTCGTAATTTTAACATTTAAAACGAAAATTCGTTAATTATTTATTAATAATAATTATTTATATATATTTTATTATTATTTTTTTTCATTCAAATATTTTTTTTTTTTAAATTTTTTTTGTCATAACTTTTTTATTAGACTCGTTTCCTTTATGTCGAGATCAGGCTGAACGTATCATCAATAACATCCGGAATATGCGCATATCACATGCGCACTAACATTTTTTCGTCAGTAAATTTTCCTTGTTAAAAAAAGTAGCCAGGATAAAAAAGAACGTAAGTAAACAATCGGGTTATTTTGTTATTTATTATATATATTTTTAACCGTTTTTATTTTAATAATTAATTATTTATCAACATTTGATTTTTTTTTTTTTTTATTATTATTATCATTAACTAAAAACGGTTGAAAATTAATTTTTTTTTCTTCTCTTTTTTTTTTTTTTTTTTTGAGGACAATTAACGGAGCCCTAGATTATTCCCGTAAAAAAAAAAAAAAAAAAAAAAAAAAAAATACATGGTTGCCAATTTTCAATGTTAAAGAATTTCACTTTGACAAAATTTTTTTTTTTTTTTTTTATTATTTTTTTTCTTTATAATAAATTTACGTGAATAAATATTAACGGGGTAATGATAAATAATTATGTTTTTAATTATTATTATTATTAATCATATGTATTTTTTTGATATGAGTGGGTGAAAGGAACAAAAAAATTTTATATATATATATATATATTTGTTTTTATGTAATTGTTGAATTCAATTCGTCCAACATGGCAACTTTTTTTTTTTTTTTTTTTTTTTTTTTTTTTGACAACCTAAAATGTTGGAAATTACGTGAAATAATAATAATACATATTAAAAAATTATTAGTATAAAAAGAATTTGTGATTTGAATACGTAGAATTTGTTTGATTTGATTAATTATATAAATAAAATTATTATTGGGAAAATAATAAAATAATAAATTCAGGTATCTTTGTTTGTTAGTTCAATATGGTATAAATTACAGGATTGAGCCTATATTTAATTGACCTTTAAAAGAAAATGAAAAGTGTTTACTGATTAATAATTTTTATTTATTTATTTCTTTTCTATTGTTAATAATTTTAAAAAAAAAAAAACGAGGAAAAAATCTTATTAATGTATGTCATTAAAAATTATTTTATTGATAAATTAATAATAATATTATGTATTTTTTTTTGTAATTACATTAACAAAATTAAACTTTCATATTTATTTATTAATTAATTTTTTGCATGACACATAGAGAGAGAGAGAGAGATGAAATTATTAAAAGTAGGTTTATGGTGATTACATTTTTTAGCATAATATAAATCTTCTTATTTTTTGGCCACAAAAAAAACTCGATTGAAAGTGTTATAATTTAACTCGATTCATTCATTTACATTCTCGATTTAATTTTTAACATACTTAATTTTTTTAGTGTTACTTTTAAATTCAAAATTTATTTTTGGGTATTGTTTATGATAGTATCACAACTATGTAATATTAGTAATTGTTTGATTTTAATTAAAAATTTGTGATAGTTAAAATTATTTATCATTATTATTAGTAGTAGTTGTACGACGAGAAGTTATTAATCGAATTCTTTTTCTTTTCAGGATATTTTCGTCTGTGTCATACACAAAGTAAAAAAAAAAAAAAAAAAAAATTTCAAAACATATTCATAAAAAAAATTTTTTCTATATTTAATTTTTTTTTTGGAATCATTCGCTGAATTTAATCGATTCAATTGAATTGCACAGATTTTTTCCAAATAAAAAACTGTGAAATAATAAGATAAAGAACCAAAAGTATCGTCACTGGAGAGCAAACAAGAGAGAGAGAGAGAATAATTATTATTGCCAACATTATTAAAACTTTTACTTAAAGGAAATAAATAAATTAATTAATTAATTAAAATTAATTTTCTATCTGGGGAAATTAATTTTATTGAAAAAAATAATTAAGAATGAATCAAAGCGGCGATGATCAGGCGGAATGCCCTCTTTGTATGGAACCATTCGAAGTAGATGACCTTAATTTTTTTCCCTGCACTTGTGGATATCAGGTGAGTTAGTTTTTAACAAACATCTTAAAACACTCACTAAAAAAAAAAAATGGCCGAGTCATAATTACTGAAATAATGTGCGAGAATTTGAATAGCCTAATGTATATATATTAACTTGTTTTTTATTATTATTATTATAGATCTGTCGCTTTTGCTGGCACAGAATCAGGACAGATGAAAATGGTTTATGTCCAGCTTGTAGGAAAGCTTATCCAGAAAATCCAGCAGATTTTAAACCCTTATCTCAAGAACAGGTATTTATATTACAATAAATAAATCCTCAATGGTTTCGTTATAATGTAAGTAAATCGCATGAACACATAACCATAAAAACATTTCAAAATTAACATTCTCTTGACCTTGTTTATTAAATTCCATAGAGTATTAGTAACAGTCAACCAATCATATTGAAAATTGAATCATCGATAATATTGATAATTGTAGCAAATAAATAAAAAATTTTTTCATTACAGATGGCAAAATTAAAAGCAGAAAAAAGACAGAAAGAGCAACAACGAAAACAGAAAGCGACAGAAAGTAGAAAGCACTTAGCGAATGTTAGAGTTGTACAGAAAAATTTAGTATTTGTAGTCGGTTTACCAATACGATTAGCAGAGCCTAATATACTCAAAAAACATGAATATTTTGGTAAATTTGGTAAAATACAAAAGGTTGTCATTAATCAAAGCACGTCATATGCTGGAGCTTTGGTGAGTGATGTTTTTCGAATCATCAATACATTTTATCAACATTTTATTTTGTAATGTTTATTATTCCCGTTTATTCCCTAGGGACCTAGTGCTAGTGCATATGTAACTTATAGCAGGTACGAAGATGCGTTAAGAGCGATACAAGCTATAAATAATATATGGGTTGATAACAGGCAAATCAAGACTTCATTAGGAACCACTAAATATTGTTCACATTTTATTAAAGCGCAAACTTGTCCAAAGCCAGACTGCATGTATTTACACGATTTAGGTAAGTTGTTGATTAAAAAAAAAAAAAAAAATTTGGCAACGTGGGAGCAGCGAGTACCTAACTAAATTTTTTTTTTTAAATAAAGGTGATCCGGAAGCTAGCTTTACTAAAGAAGAAATGCAACGTGGAAAACATCAGGAATACGAAAGGAACTTGTTCGAGCAATATAATAACACTATAACGCAAGAAAGGAAAACGACGCCATCACCTCCAACCTTGGGAAATTCACTAACTAATTCCGATTCAACATCTGCTTTTCCGAGCGCTGTTGGAAAAGAAGCGTGGCTATCATTACCGAATGGCACGACTCAAACGAATTCAGGTAGATTACAATGAATTATAATTTAAAAACCCATCCACCCCCCCGCCCCGCCCCCGCCCCCCCAAAGAAAAAATAATAATAATAATGATATATGATTTTACTAACAACATATTTCGGATTGTATTTGAAAAAAAAAAAGAATAAATTTTCCATTATTGTATATTATTTATATTATCGGGGGAAAGAGAGAGAGAGAGAGAGAAAATAATAATAATAACAGAAAAGAAAAGGAAAAAAAAAATTACGTCATCTTTTTTGCTGTCGTTTAGATAATCAAAACGTTTTGTGTTATTATAGTAAAAGAGGAAAAAATCCGTGAAAATTTATATATATATAGATATTATGTACATAAATATCAATATTTTTATACGTTTCCAAAATTGATTGAATAAAAAAAAAAAAAGTCAACATTTTTTTTTTTTTTTTTTTTTTTTACACACGTACGTACGTAAGTAACTGGGTGTGTGCGTGGGTGCGTGCGTGCGTGCGTGCGTGATTGTGTGCGTTTTTTTTGTAACGTCAATAGGTAGTAGGTAGGTAGGATGTTTCGCGTAACGGTTGTAGAGATAGTTTTACGTCAAAACAATAATAATAATAATAATCTTTGTCATTACGTTACGTTGTTTTTTTTTTTTTGTTAGGAATAAGATTTACCGATCGATGGATCGATTGATCGATCGATCGATCGATTACAATTTACTTTAACGATTTTTTTTTTTTTTTTTTTTTATAATTGAATTTTTCTGACGTAAGCAAGGTTAGCTTAGCTAGCTTAAAATTAAAAAAATATTTGATTTCACTTTTACATAATTTTTTTCTATACGTTACGTAATAAATTTCGATCGTATCGCCATGTTTTTTTTTTTTTTTTTTTTTACTGTAAATATGGAGGTATGAGTTATTTACTTGTAGAATTTTTGCACGTGGTAAATTAATATTAATAATAATAATAAGTACACGGTAAAATAACGGGGGAAAAACGTGTGAGATTTTCTCGATTAATTTTTACACAGAGTACACAAAAAAAAAAAAAAAAAAAAGAATCGGTCCTTGTTTGTAATTATACCCCCCCGGGTTGTTTTTTTTTTTTTTTTTTTTTTTTTTTCAAAAAAAAAAAACGTATACTTTATTCAATAGTATTATTATTATCGAAAGAATAGCATGAGAAATCGCGTCGGTAATTTACGTTATAAAGGTAAATAAATATTTGACATATTAAAAAAAAAAAAAACGTTAAAGTAGATTTAAATCTATAATAATAATAATAATAATTTACGTAAATTTATGTATTTTATTTATTTTGTGTCGTTTTGTTTTGATAAGTGATAACTAGGGACGAAATGTCGCTACAGGTTTTCGATGTACAATAATAATAATAATAATATAATGAAAAAAAGAAAAAAAGTAAGAGAGATAGAAGGAAAGGGGAAGGAAGAAAAACTTTTTACTAATAAATAATACTTATGATTGATTGATTGATTGATTGATTGAAAACGTGTGGGTTTTTTTTGTTAGATCGCATTAATTTGTTTTCAGGAGGTGGGACAATCGGAACGGTTGCTATATCATCTACAGAGACAGTATCAAATAATACAACCACAACAACAACAACAACAACAACAACATCCCCTTCTACTAATAATAATAACGTTCAAATAGTTTCCACATCGTCGACAAAGCAACAGCAGTCATCTAAAAATAAGCAAATAAAAGAAAAACACAATCATTCATCTAATGAAAAGACAACAAATAATAATAAAAAGAAAGGCAAAGAAAAGAACGTGAACGGCACAAATAATAATAATAATAATAATAATAATAATAGTAATCAAATTAGTAGCAACAACAACAACAATAATAATAATAATAATAATAGTAATACCACCACCACCACCACGACAACCACAAACCAAAACAATAACACAAACAACAACACCACAACCACTCCCACTTCCACTCCTACTCTCACTCCCACTCCCACCACCGCCAACAACAACAACAACAGCAGCAATAATCTTAGTACTTGTAATAGTAATAATAGTAACAATAACGGTAATAATGATAGCTCCAACAGCAACAGCAACAACAATAGCAACGCGCTTAGTAATAATAATACACAAAATAATAGTAGTAGTAGTAGTAGTAGTACGAATGCCGTTAATAATGGTAATAATAATATAGGAGAAAAACACGAGAATTCAGCGAAAATTAGCAAAGAAAAAGACAAAAAAATAAATGGGGAAGGAAGTCAACAAATGGAAAACAATACAAACAATTCTAGAATATTGCTGTCGAATAACAGATCATCTTTTTACGGGAAAAATAATACATTTTTTTCAAACAACAACAACAACAACTTTAGTAAAAAATCATTTACAGGTAATGATAAAATTTTCGTTTTTTTTTTTTTTTTTTTTTTACAACAGCATCATAATGTTGAGAGGATGTTTAAAAATGTTATTTTGATTTTTTACTAAGCGCAAATTCGTGAAATGTTTTGTTACGTAAAACTAAAATGATAATAATAATAATAATGAATAATGAAAGATTTTTCCCAGGGTTATTTTTTTTCATGGATGTGTAAATTGAAAAAAAAAGAGAATGATAAGTCTTTTGTAAGAGTTCACGGGAATGTATATTATATATTATTATAGTATATTATTAGATATTATATTATTAATTAATTTAATATTGAAATTAGTATCAGGGGAATGAAAAAATGAATGTTTGTACACAAAAGACGACGATGGTGCTTCCCTTTAATTTTTTTTTAGAACATTCAAGTGCCCAGAATTTATGTGCGCGCTATTTAAATAATAGAGGGTAATAAGAATCTAAAAAAATTTTTAATCACTTTCGTTTCAGGTTCAAAAGACTCTCTGCCGAACGGTTTTATAAAAGTACCTGAAAATGTAACAATTAATTACGAACCGAATTTCAGTGATGTAAATGGCCTTAACGATAAAGAAAGTTCAGACAATTTAGAAAATAAATTATTATTAACGAATAATGATAGCGAACGCGTGAACGCGACGGAAAACGATACGGGAAAATGTTTAATGAACGGATTTCAAACGAATCCTGTTCACGATCAATACGACAAAGGAAATTATAATCAAAGGCATAATTTCGGTTACCAAAATGGAACCCTGAATTTTTCAAATAACATATGCCAGCAAAATATATTTAATAATTACATATCTTTAAATAAATTCGGTAGTCAAATGAAAAACGATAGTAACGTTCTAATGGATAACAATGATGTTTATTTGAATCAAACAAACAATCATTTACTAGGACAACAGAATTTTCTTATCAAACAACAATTGGCACAACAACAGCAAAGAAATCAACAATCCTCTCTCCCGCAGATATTCATACAACAGCAACAACCTCAGCAAAACATATATCAACCCCAACAACAAAATCAATATTCACAAGATTATAGATTAGTTCAACAAAATCAACAGCATCAGCAGCAGCAACAGTCATCTCAACAACCGTCAAACGGTTTACATTCACAAAATCCGCATTTTAATTATATACAACAACAATCTAATTTAAGAGATCAGTTATTATTGCAACAACAAAAGCAAAATCAATTAATATTAAATAATTATCCTCCGACGGGTAATAATTTCATGCATTTGCCAGGATGTGCGGATGATTTAGTCGTAGTGGACAATGTGATTCCTCAGCATAAATTCATTGAAAACGGTTTAAGTCCGACCGGCCTTTACTCGTCCGATTACAAATTAAAAAATAATTATAAGAGTGATGATAACGGAATTGAAAAAGAATCCGTCGACGTGATGAATAACACGAGGGTAGGAGGAGATGATGAATTAGGTTTCGATCCTTTTCACGAAACTCAGAAAGCCTTAGCCGATTTAATGGAAAAAGAAATGTTGATACAACAGAACAAGCACTCGTTGAAGCATAAAAATGACCAATATTATCAATCTCAATGCTATCAAAATCAACACGGATTCGATAATTGTCCCCGGGGACAATTCAATCAACTCCAGATGAACATGTTGAATCAACAAAATAGTTTAATCGGTGGAAAATTATTAAATCAAATTCATTCGCAACAAATATTAAATTCAACCAATCAAAAGTAAGTAAAGAAAAAGAAAAAAAAAAAAAAAATTTCAAAAGGTAAACAAATAATCAATCAATCAATCAATCAATCGTTTTTCTTTCTATACTTTAAGGTCATCTTTAAACAATAGACTAGACGGCGTTAGATGCTCCCTTCCCCCACCCGGTTTCGGTGGACCCTCTCAAAACGGTTTGCCGGGTCATTTAAATAATTTCGGACAAGGTCTCGGTAGAAGTAATAGTTCAAGGAAAATACCTGCTTTTATGAGTCTTTCAAATAGTGAATCTTCCTTTCAGCCTCATTATGTATCCAACGGTAAAAATATGGTTTTGAATCACGTGGTTTCCGCCACGTGGAATTTTTTTTATTAATTTTTTCTATTCTGTAATCCAGGATTAACAAAATCGGATGATTGGCCCGAAAGCCTGAGGTCTCTTGTTCAAGAAGGTAGAACGTCGTCGTCGTCGTCACCTTCTGGTGGAAATCCTAGTTATTCCTCAGCGGCGCCTAAGGGTAAAAAAAAAAAAAAAAAAATTTATTAGTTTTGTTTTATCTCTCTGGTTGTTCAGTGCGACATATATATTTGTGTTTGTAAAATTTCAGGATGGAGTAATATAGGAAATTGTTCTGATTGGACAGCCTTAGATCCAGCAATAGTATCATCATCAAGATCCCAACATTTATCTCTTCACAATCAGTCTTTATTAAACAATCAAGTTGGTTTTTTTTTTTTAATTATTATTAATATTATTATTAGAAATTTTTATGGTTTTCTTATTGTTTTTTAACTGTTTTACAGGGACTTAATCATTTACGACAGAATCAACTTCAGAATCAATTGTGTCAATTGAACATTGGCGGAGTTTTAGGTCCAAATAATTGGTCAACGCACAGACAAAACGAAGACAA